AAGACAATAAATTTGGTCATGTTTGGTCAGGTAACATGAGGTAGTGCCCTGAAATAGTGGGCACTCATAGTTGAAAAAGAACAACTATGAACAACTATGAGTGTTGTGTATGAGAACTTGTTGTAAAAATAAACAACAGATGACAAATTTTGTTTAATTCCATAGTCTAGATCATTCAGATAAAAAACAAACCACTACAACCAGTACAGCACCTTTTCCTTAGGGTTTTACAGTTGTTACATGTTGTCAGTCTTACTTTGATACATTTTTAAAGTAGCTGCATCTTTTTCAGTAGCCATTCTCCAGGCTAATATGCTAGTTTGTTGCTAACTTTAACTGTAACGTTCATTTTATCCCATCTAGCAAACATTGTGTTAGCTGTTGGACTAAATAGCAGCTTATTTGACTATTAAAGTTCATTTTATCCAATCTAGCAAACATTGAGTTAGCTGTTGGACTAAATAGCAGCTTACTTTATCGTTCTCTGCGCTAATTTAGCCTTATATTTGCCTTAAGGCTAACATGTTGTTCATTAGCTATCATTTCATTGCATTTAGGCTAGTCTGTGCTGTTCTTTGTTTAGTTTCCTGGCTCACTTCGATAGATGCTGGACTAATATCTACCTCTGTTCCTGGCTAACATTTTTAGCACTTTTGCTACACATATTGTAACAATTTAACTTTGTCCGAACACACCTCTAATTGTCTTCTTGTCATTTTTTTCTGCTGGCTATTTTGGCTATCTTGGCTATCATCTTCTGCTCAACTGTATGGCTCTTTAATTCATCCTATAGTTTGGCTATTGGAAATTCTTATGGGCTTTTTAGTTGTTTCCTACCCTTTTTAGTTTCAACAACTTTTTCCTGACATTTCTAGGCTAACTCTTGGTTATCTTTTAGCTACTTTTGTTAAATTGGAAGCAAAATAGTTTCCGTTCTTACCGTGCCTTCAGGTGCTGTTGTCTTGATGTGGTTGTTAACAGAGTCTTACTGTGGACATGTCTTCTCATTTGAAACCTCTAACAGCCATGATGAAAGTCGTAAATGCAGCAGTTTGAATTTAACACTTTTTTTTTGTCAAAAAGAGAATCTTCCTTTGAGGCCGACTGACTGATCCAATGAGTTTAACCAAAATATTCTTAGTGACGTTGGCAGATCACAGCTGTCGCTAACGAATGTGCTCTTATGGAGTTGTAACTGTTAATTTATGCAATATATATAGATACAGATATATGGACATATATCTATATCTCTATGTATATTATATTTACCTTAATGTAAATAAGACTTGTGCATTGTGTAAATTACGACCTGTAATTTTTTGTAAATATCTTACATCCTGTTTATTTCTGCGTGACTGTATGATGTTAACTTTAAATATAACAGCTGCTATTTTTGTGTTAGTGAGTCATTTTTATATCTACAACATTTGTCTGTGTTTTTATAGCTTTTGTATTATTCCTATTTTAATAAACAACTTGACATCACGCACTGTCGAACTTTCAACCTCCGCTGGTCTTTTTAGCAGCGCTTTCTGGGGTGATTTTGCAGGAAAACGCGCCAGTGGGAAGACAATGTGTTTACGCAATATTTTCTTCTATCGCGCCGGTGGGAAGACACTTTCAAATGTGTTTACGCAATATTTTCTTCTATCAGTGAGGCCAACAATTCGGAGGGCGTGAGAAACGCCCCGAAAGTGGCTAAAAGCAGCAGATAACGCTCGTGGAATCAGGGAATTAAAAAGGATAAATACCTCCTTTCTTAAGAAAGAGTTGGATAACAGATGTCCAGACTTAAGTGATGCATAGCTGAACTTGGATCAGCTACTGTGATGGGTTTTTTTCTTTCCTGGTTGCCTAATATGAGATAAGATATCCTTGAATCTCCCAGTGGGAGATGAATGTCTGTGTCAGCTCATCTTATTGAGGTAAAAACCTGCTTTTTGTTACACGCTGCACAGATATGGTACTTGCTACTTCATTTAAAAAATAAAACGAACAAACTCAGTTGGATTAATGAAAAAAAATAAACTGGATAAAATCATTTCAATCAATGAAGGTAAAAAAAAAAGATCAAACAGCTCGCCCGTGCTGCGGGAGAGCTGTTTGATCTAAACAGCTTGCCCGTGCTGCGGGAGAGCTGTTTGATCAAATTGTGATTTGTTTGAAGGATCATAAAATTTGAAGTTTGAATGATCGTTACAGGAGTGGTGAATAATCTGTTTGCTTATCACTCACGAATTGTTATTTAACCACAGGAATTTGGCAGCTGAGGTCATATTATGTGACTAAAAAATGAAAAGTGCTCTTGTTTTGTAACCACTCAAAACAAGGCGGCGCACAGGGTTTATTAATGCAATAATTGCACCACTAGTGTTTTGTAGAGAAAGACATATGATAAGTCTGTGTGGTCTAAAAATAGAAAATAAAATGAATTCACCAGGCTAATGCTTTTGTTAAACCCATATGTCTGGCACAAAAAGGCATGTAGTCGACCATACTACATGCCTGAACTGGCAGACAGGACAGATTTTTCAAGTCAAGAGCACCAACGTAGCCTAAAGGGGCTAAAAGTTTACAACTGTTAAAAATTAAGAATTGTAAATATTGCTGCAGGCCTACCGATAGATAACAAAAAATAAGCCAAGAAGCAGCTAAGGATAAGAAAATATAATTATAATCTATGCTGACCAATACATACAAAGATTTGCTCATGATCTGGCTAAAATAAAATTAGCAAACATAGCAAAAGGGTAGCCACAAATAAAACCTCATAACAACTAAGCAAATGTAAAGTAATGGAATTAGCAACTAAAGCTAACTGAGCTAATACAAAGCTAATACATAATCTAATTAAACGTATACTAAATTAAAAGCTAAATAAGCAGCTCATAGTTAGCCACTTAGACTTTGCAAAAAAGAAAATTAAAGAAAATTTGAAGTTAGATAACACAGCTGAAATAATCAAATAAAGTTGTCACAAATTGCTAAAAAACTAAATAAATAAAAGTTGCCATCAAGATGGGTGGTCTCCAGGACCATCTTTTGACAGTGCTGACCTAAAGACCACCAAAGTGTCTTAAAGGTGAACGTAATGTAACGTAATGCTAGTAAAACTAGACAGAGAAATTTACTGCCCCCATTTATGAGCTGATTAATAGTTTAGTAGCCAAAGTGCGGACGGACGACTTGCAGGATCAACACCGGTTGATCTTTGATCAGTGATCTTTGATATAGTTTATTAAGATAAACTTCACCAGGATGCTGCGTGGTACAGAATACATGTTCAGTGATACAGTAGGATTGTAACATAAATCATGGCTTCACGGCTCATTGGAGGTTACCGCTATGATAATATATGGATGGTCTTTTATAGTCCTGATCTTTCTGTTTGTCTAAGTGTAGAGGGTGGTTCACCCCCCTTCACCTTCACCTCCCTCTCCAGGCTTTACTTCCAGAGATGACCTGTGGGAAAATCTATAAAAGTATAGCTTCAAAAAGGCCTGCGCCGATCTGAGCGTCTGCTGCGCTCAGTATCAGTTTTTATGGCTGCTACAGGACAGAGGCATTGAATTCCTTCATGTCCCTTTACTGCAGTGGGGAGAGAGCGGTCAGAGTCAGAGTTTCTCGATAACTGGTCATCGGGGTAAAAGGCGGGATCAGGAGGCAAACAGCTCGGTCAGCAGTGTGGAAGTGGCCTTCTGGCACAATGACCTGTCGGAATTTACCGCTAAGACGCCAGATAGGTCAATTACACCTCCACATGTGAGTCGCAGGTTCTATAAATCATCGCGCTCTGATAGTGGTCAGGGATTTACTGGGTCTGCTGGAAAGTTACTGAGGAAATGAGTGCCTTTATTCTACTATTGAGTGTTTAAGAGTTTGTTTTCTGCTTAAGTTTCCTTTTACTTTTCGCAGCTTCTTTGTCTTTTTATTCACTATTTGGATTTTTTTAGATTTTCTTTTGGCTAGCTTTAAACCTATTCAGGCTAACATTGAGGCTCGGATGGGATGATCTTGCCACTATAATTTAGGGACTACTGTAGCATTTATTTCTGTTTGCAACCTGACTTGTTTGGCTAACATGTAGCTTTTCTTACCTTAGCTATAAAGCTTTAAGTCTTTGGCTAATGTTTGGCTTTTGGCTAAATTCAGAATGTTTGTCCAGCCTGTTTTTTGTGCTATGCTTCCGACTAACTCGTGGCTAGCCTTAGATATAGAAAAGGTCCAACTATTTTGGACTCATCTTTTCTTTTAATTTGGCTGATTTTTAATATTTTTTGGTAGTACAGTTGTTTTGCTACTCCTTAGCTACTGTATATATAAGTTTAATTAGCAAATAAAAAGCCACATAATCAAATTCTTTTTTTTTCTTTCTTCTGATCTCTGAGCTAACTAAAATAATGGTTACCTCATTTCAGTTTTATACCATTTATGTTTTTGCTGTTGCCTAACTTTGTAGTTAATGATGTGACTGTTTAATTATCCTCGTGGCAAATTTTAAAAATGATATCCCTTAATTAGCTTCTCCTTTTTTTTAGCTTTGTAGCTTCACTTTTAAAAACGGAGGTTTTTATCCATTTAAATGAGGACGTTCAGACAAGTGTCGCAACAGTAATCTTATGTCGCCCTCTGCTGGTTGAATGTAGTCACACCTTGAGTCCTGATCCAGTACTAGTGTAGATTATGGCTCCAGGGCTGCTGGGTAAACAGACACTTCGGATTTGTCTGGAACTGGCTCCACGTTAATGACACTCCCTGCTGGTTCCAGCACTGACTCACAGGTCGCTCTGCTCTGTCTGTGTCTGTTATCAAAGGGAGGGACTGTCTGGGGTCAGTAAGGCGATAATGATGATGATGAGGAAGATGATGATGATGATGGTGAGGCAGTGGGAAAGTGAGTGAGTGTCTGGACACTGCAGTCACTGCAGCTGGGTCGCTGCTCTGAGTCATGATGTTGTTGGACTGTTGGAGGAAGCAGGGAGTCACTGTGGGAGAAGTCAGGCGTCTGCAACCCCTGACACCTGGAAATAAATCAACAAATGTGTTTAATTTATACATTTATTTGAGCCATATTTTACAAGGCTCAATATTTATGTTAATGCATTTGTTAAGTTAAAAAAAATTCCTCCTCTCATCGATTCTTCTTAGCTAATTGCGTAGCTTTTTGTTAGCTATTGTTATATATCTGGTGAAACTATGCTAACAGACTCATTTTGGCTCATTTTATATCTACTTTTATTATACTGTACCTTAGTTCCAGTTATCTTAAGCTAATTTTAGCAGAATTCATAGCTATTTTGTTATACTTTTGGCTACATTTTGGCTAACATTAGGCTATTTTTTTACCTGTTTATTTGGCTATTTTATTACAGCTACTTGAAACTAACCACCAGGTGAACCTTAGTTGTAGCCATTTTACATTCAATTCAACTATTCGTTTTGGTCATTTGTAGCTATTTTTGCTATAGGTAGCACATTACTTGTGCTACCTATAGCATATTTTTTAGCTAACCCTTTCACCGCATTACTGTATAACTTTTTAGAAAGTACTCTGGGCACTAAAGTAGTACTGAATTAGGCCCTGCTGGCTTGGCTATATTTTTACCTGCTTCATCTGCAGAAATCGAGCCATTTTGCAGTCTCTGAGTAACTGTGTTACATGTAGAGAAAGAGGGAAACGATGCATCCTGACAAGAGACTCTCGATGCCTAAAAAACAAACATAAAAATTCAAATTGGACAAAACACATCAGGGTTTTCGTCCTAAAACTTTGCCGGGTGTGTTGGTTCCTACTTTACCTGCTGGGCGGTGAAAGTGTGTCGATCGATTCGATTCACAGGAGCAAACTCTCTCTGCTTTTGAACATCTGTAGCTACAAAGAGGAAGAAGTAAAAAAAAAAAAGTGAGGTGTGAATCTTCCTGGAGTTCAGTTCACTCAAATATCCATCACTTACTGCCTGTTCTGCTCCTCTGTTTGGTTTCCCTCCTCCACTTTGCTCTTCTGTTTGAGAACCAAACCTGTCAGAGATACACTGTGAGGTTTCCAGATGACCTTAATAACTCTAAAATAACAAAAAAAAAACCCACTTGGTCTACCTTTATAGTTTCCTCGGGGATATTGATCTTGGCCGACAGCTTCTCTCTCATGTACATGTCTGCGTACTGGCTCTGGGAAAACTCTGATGTGGGAAATAGGAACGTGTACATTTTATGCTCGTCTGAGTGGGAAACTTCAACATTTTTGCGTTAGTTTGACACACACACACACACACACATAAAGCCCGGTACTTTATAAGTCACCTTGCTCTAATGCTGTGCTCTGCTCAGCAGTGAACGCTGTGCGGTTCCTGTGCTGGACGCCTTCACGTTTCTGGTCTTTATTGCTCTCTGTCTCCGCGTGATTCACTTCCTCTTCAATCAGGAAGGAGAGATCTGTGGAAAACACACACACACACACACACACACTAACTGAACACACACGCTGTATTTAAGGGGGTCTGGATTAATTTGATTTGGATACAGAGACATAAGGAATTCCCACAAAAATGTCACTGGTGGTTTATGCTTCAGCCAGTTGTTCTGTTTGAGATCATTGATAAAACGTCTCTCTCCGGTCGTACACTTTTTTTTTGTGAATTGCAAAGTTGAACTTTTTTCTTAAAGTTGTTTTTTTATTATTATTTCTACAATTCGTATAATTTATTTTTTCTGTTCAACACTTTGTGCGTTAGCCTATAAGGCTAATAATTGTGACCTTTGCATTGCATTTCTGCAACGTTTGTAAAAGTCTGTGCCTGAAGTGTTTCAGGACTAAGGAGGGTCAGTATATGTTTGTGTCCGTACAGTAGTAGCTACAGTAATCAAGGCTGACACACGGTACAATACAAGTCAATGAAAAATCAAGAATAAGACATGACGTAATTCAACATGTTGACATGAAGTAATGACACATGACAAGATGTGACGTGACGTGAAGGGCTTATGAAAAGACTTTTACTGGGCCCAAAACATGAAGAAATTTGATTCTATTTTATATAGAACTATAATCGTATCATATCATTTTATTACGGGCCCCTTTTAATTATTGGCCCCTAGAAACCTACCCTACCCTTTCCGGAGCCCCAGTATACATGACATGACATGACTTGACACAACACCTGACAATGTATGATGTAACGTGACGTGACATGACGTGACATGGGAGCAATGTATGATGTAACGAGACTCGATAGGATACACGACGTGACGTGACATGACGTGACATGGGACAATACGATACAATACGATGCTAGTAAATCAGGGTCTCCCCTGACTCACCTTCCCCCACGCTGCTGTGCGCATTGACGTCCAAACACATAGGCCCGTGGTCCAAGTGGATCTTTCTTAAAACCCGGTTTATAGATGACACCTTAAAGCATGCAAACATAGACAATCAAAACAGGCTTTTTTCACGCAAACTGAAGTGTTTGACTTTGACTTACGCTGGGCACTTTGGAGACTTTGCGCAACCGAGCTTCCGCCGCTGTTATCGTCAAGAGACGTTTTCTTATTTCCCAGGCGAAAATCGTTGGGTTTTCCCTTTTGTACTGGACTATAGTGGAGATGACCCTCGGGGTGAGGAGTCGAGGTCGGCTCCCTCCGATGGTCTTGGGCTCCAGGAGGCCAAACTGTTTTTACCGCCAAAAACTGGACGGAGTTTAAAAATGTGACTTTAATATTGTATTTACCCTCAGTATCCTGGAAATCTGACTTGGTCGCACTCCCTCCATGGCCATCTCTATCATCTTTCTCCGTTTGGACTCTGGGAGAGGTCTGCCGTTTAGGAACGTGCCTCCCAGCTGGTTTACGCGTCCACAACCTTTTTCCATAAAAGTGTCATATGTTTTTTTTACATAGCTGGCAGCCTTTAAAAACACCTGAACACAATGATAAACACTCCGCATGTTGTTTGTGTTTCCTACACGCTGCCGTACAGTCGAGTAAAAAGCGGTGCGTAAAGAGCTTCGGGACAAACCTGTGTTTTCCAGATGAGAGTTGGTTCCGCACATATCTCAGTTTTGGCGAAATTTGAAATGAATAATAATTTCTGTATTCCCTGTGAGAATTCCAGATTAAAAGTCCGGTCACCTCTGGGGAGGAACAATGACGGGACTCACGCCCCTCAGCAGGTATTTATAGGTCCGCACACCTCAACATGACGTGGAGCACAAATGTCATCATCACCTGGACTGAACTCGCTGCAGAGCCAGGTGTTCAGTCCACCAACACTAACACCGTGACACTGTGAGTTCTAGTAAATGAGACAAACATATTGAAAAAGTATCTCATCTGATAGGCTGTAATTATGTTTTTTAAAATAACATAAAATTAGACAAAATTATATCCCAAATTACAATCACAAAATACAATATTATCTTATAAATAACTATTAATATAATATAATTATACCAAGAGTTAAAACATTAGCAAATTTGAGTGAAATTTGGAGCGTACTGTATTATGTATTAGATACAAAATTCGACACAGTGAAGCTAAATGTTAACCCAAAAAAATAAGGTACAAACTGATTGGTTGAATTAAGCCAATCATTTAAAGTTAAAAATATATTGGCTGAACTTTAAATCGACTAAATGTTTTGCTAATAGTCAGTACAAAATAGCTAAAATATTGTCCAGAAAAGCTGACCTTGTCAAAATATCACATTAAAACAACTGGATTTTACAAAATAAAAGTGGCTAAAAGTGGTCAAAATAAAACAACTGAATTTTACAAAATAAAAGTGGCTAAAAGTGGGCCTTAGAGTGGTTTAAGTTTTTAAAAAACGTTTTTTTTTTGCTCAAGAATATTATGTCCATTGCTCACATTTCACAGAGGTTAAATATTATATAAGTTTTGTTTTGGACTGGCAGTAAAGCTGGTTCATTTTATTTAGAAGTTGCAGGTCAAAAACCCCTGATGGCCGTGCCACATTTGGCCCTTAGACCACATTTTGAATATGGCTGTTAGAGAGGGAGGTGTTCATTTGTCCAGCATCTGTACCGTACACTGTGTTTGATTCTGTAGATAGATATATATTTTTAATATTTTTGGTCCAATTTATGGATCAGCTCAGAAGTTTAGGAATTTAAAGTGGTTTCCTGTGCAGGGACCTCAGGCTCTCAGACTCCCACAGACAAACATGTCTCCAGAGTTTAACTCATGCATTTCAATCCTTAAATGTATTGCTTTTGGTCTTATTTTAAAAAAATAAATAAATAAATTACCCTCTAGGACTGTTGTGCTTTAGAGGACCCGGTGGTCACGTGACCTGAGCATCCCTGTCCCCAGCTGAGGTGCTTTGGATTAAAAGGATCTCTGGTCTCCTCTCATAAAGCAAACATTTGGAAATCTGCTCCAATGACGACTGCCATATGGTAAAGTGCTTTTGATAAATCATAAATCCATCGACGGGCCGCTCTCTCTTTATTACATTTTCTTTCAAAACGTGAACAAATAAGGCTCCTCGTCGTATATGGGCGCATGGAGGCAGAAGGGGCCAATTGGGGCCCCGGTGTGTCCATATAAGAGGGAGGCTAAAATAACCCACACAGATGTTCCCTGGGCAGCTAGCAGATAAAAATGCGTTGTAAACGTTTCGAAGGGAAATATTTGACGAGCAAATATTAGCCTATGTGAAAACCGCACGCCGCGCAAGCCTGGTCCTTTGCTGTGTTTAATGACTAATTGAATATCATTAGTTGGGTCCACACACAGATCGAAGTGGCACCGTAATAAAGGCACACATCTTAAAAAAAATGCCATATGGTCGGAATTATACATTAACCACGAGTTAGAGGACGATAATTCTCTCTGTGTACAATCGGACAGCTTGGACGGGGACAGACACTTTTGGACACCAGCATCTCCTTGCCAACGGAGGCTAAGGACAAATAATGGGCTCCACTTTGTATTTATTAACCTGGACTTCAGAGCAGACGTTGGTTTATAGTATCTAACACATGTACAGTGCGTTAAAGGGGGTTAATTGAATTACTCTGCCTCTCTGCGTCACCGAGTGCCACATGCCCGCGGTGCGTAATTGTCACCAAGGCTCGCCAAAACACGAGGAGCTGGACTTCTGTGGCTGGAAAGATCCATGTACGACACGTGTGCTGTAGTTTTTGTCTGTGGATGTTTTTATTGTGTGCGTGCCTTGTGTGTCTGTGTCGTGTCGTGTCCAGAGGTGTAAAAATATTCAGAGCAAATCCGCCGCGTAAAAGACTTGTGGAAACCTGTCCAAAGCGCGCAGACCGAGCTGTCGTGTGCGCAACGGCGCTGCCTCCATGAGCGCAAACCTGGTCCTGACTCCTGTCACAGCTGAGGGGAGGGAGTCACGTGTCGTTGGCGTTTGACCATTTTATCTGTGTCCTGGATTTGTGATTTAGTGAAGAATTTGTCTTCTGTGGTAAAACAATCTTGGATTTGTCGTGGCACGGGACGGATGTTCCACTCTGAATCTTAAATCACCTTTTCTAACCCGACTTTTCATTCCATCCTGAACTGGGTTTGAAATTTGCATCAAAACGCATGTGGTTTGTGAAAAGAGAATAATATTCGCTGTGTTTTATATTATTAAATAACCGAATAATCGAGTGAGAATGGGGAACTTTATGATTTTTTTTTTGGTGGTGGTGGGGGATTACCGTTTTTTCTTTACCGGGTAAAAACAAGGTGTCTTACCGTTATTTCTTTACCGGGTAAAAACAAGGTGTCGTCTGCGCAACGTATCTGGTGAAACTTCCAGGTTTCAGTATCTAACGCTGACATTTTGCGCTTCGGTAAAAGGGCATTTAACCTAAGAAACTTGTAATTTATGTTAAAAACGGACGCTAAATGTTTCATCCCTTCAACTTTGCGGTCAAATTTAGATTTGGTCACGTGAATAAAAACTACTATTTCCTTTTACTGTTTTGGAGATCTTGCGTAAACCTCAATTTCGGTTGCGCAAAAGGGCGGTGACGCAAAAGAAAAAGCAAAAAAACTAAAAATCTATAGCTAGACAACTGTCCAAAAAAATTCTTGAATAAAAGAAAATACTTGGTTGTTGACACTAAACCCCGTTTCAGTCTCTGTCTGAGTCTGGACTCAGCCCTCTCCAGTATTCTGGACAAATGAACGTGATATTCGACATTCGACTTTAACCAGAACCTGCCGTAAGTTCCAGCCTAGAACCATGGGCCACCTTTGCTGCCAACTGTGTTACATTGTATTTTTGAAGCAAATTATTTTCTAGTCATTCTAAAACTTCTAGATTCTTAAACGTTATTTGTCCCTCAGAGGACATTTAAAGGGCAAAATGTGGGAAAAACAAATAATAAAAGTATAAAAAAGTAAAAACAAAATAAGTCGCAACAATACCTGTCTGATATTTAATGACGTCATATATTTCCCAATATTTCTTGAGAACAGATTGTTAACCTTAATTTGTTATGAAAAAATAAAAAAAAAATTAAATTAAATTGGAACAATGCAAAGAAAATAGAATATTACACATGGGAATTAAAAAAATAATTAAGGTGACAAATTCATTATTGAGATGAAGAACACTAGGGGAAACATTTTCAATACTGAAATAATACAATATAAAACAATTTGTGATGTATGATATGTGATATTATGATATATATATATATATATAAACATATATATATGGAACACAATGCTCTGATCAACTCATCAAATAACTTAAAAATATTACTACAAATTCTAAACCTTATTCTGTGTTGGTCAGAAGCACTTTGTTAAAATGGTTTAAAAAGACTACAAGACTTGGAACACAACCCATTTACGTTATACAAAAATGTTGATTCTACTTTCTGAAGTATTTTGTCCTTTCTTTATTTATCGCTGACATATAAAGACTCATGAGGCCTGTTAAGGCTCTGAAATGATTCATTCTCCAAAAACCTGGTGATGTGGCCTGTAAATACATGTTAAGAGTTATACTTGCAGTTTATCTTAATTGACCGTACATGTACAGAGTGGTAAGGGTTGTACGGTTACATTTTTTCCCTTTTTTTCTGCTCTTGGTTTCTTTCACATACAGTTTATGGTAATCATTACAAATCACTCCTTTTGGGATTAAATGCCCGGACATTAAAAGAGTCACAATAACATTAAAAGTTATTACAAATGCTTGGATTGGGTCCCTCGAGTATAAGTGTTCTGCATTGGAAATGCCCTGTATCTCAGTCACACGGTCACTAACGGTCATGTGTGGGAGAAGCAGCTTGAAAAGAAAAATATTTATTTTTCCACCGGACCATCAATGATTATCAATCTCCTGTCTCTGTTGATCGCATTACAATGTGAGAATGCTTTCAATGTTTATGTATAAATGCAGTTGTTTCCTATATAGCTCCATAGACTTTATGTCTGAGACAGTCTTCTGCACAGTTGTTATAATTACTGTAACTTTTGGACACAATTTTTGTTTAGCTGCTTCATTACCTTTCTGCTATCGAGGTAAAATTACGAATAATATTTTTGCTACTTTTAAACCTAAATCGGTTATTTTTTTATCTTAATTGCATATTTTTTCAGCTATAATGTTGTACTTCTTTTGTTTTTTCCTGTTTTCACTATGATATTTTTACTATCAGGATTCAATTTCAGTTAAACGATAGCTAGTTTTTATTCTTTGAAGACTGAGAGATTATTTGGTTTTCTTAGTTTTATTTAGATTTTTTGGCAACATATTTTTATATAAATTGATTTTAAGCTATCTTTGGCTGAAATAAAGTCATGGACTAGCTCATATCTTTTTCATTTAGCTTTCAGTTTTAAGCTAATTTGTAGCAATTTGGAGCTTTTTAGCTACTTATTCTGGATACAGTAGGGCCTGGGCAGTTTAATAGCCCATCATTTGGCTACATATAGTCTATTTATTGAACTAGTAGCTGTTAAGGATTCTGTTTTGGTCTACATCCTTTGGTTTAGCTAAACTTTATCTTTGCTCTCTGGACTGTGATGCTTTTTATGGATAGTTTTGTTCTTGTTTTTTGTGAACAACTGACTTTATGTAATAACTAGGCTAACTTTGACTAATTTATTGGATTTTAAAACAAAGTTGTTTGTGGACATTTAGCAAGTTTTTGTCTAACAGCTGACACATTACAAATATTACATTTTGTATATTCCAAGGATTCCTAACTTTTTTGGCCTTGTCAGGCTTAAATGTATGTGAGAAAGTAAAGCAATCATACATTGAGAAGTTTTCAATACAACCGAAAACGCCAAATATGCTGTTTATATGGTTTAAAATATTTATTTTGTATTAGTGATAATTGGATTTTGAATTACTTAGACAAAATTACTATGATAATTAGTATTTTTGAATTGTTAGGCCAGTTCCTTTCCAGCGGGAACCAAAACAACTTTTTTCTTGTGGTCCGTGAATGCAGCATGTATCGCTTTAACACTGTGCTGACGTGTCGCACCTCCTGCTCCGGAAGCCGTTATTTCAAGTTGCTTACGCGGTCACAGAGCGGCTCCGTTCACTCCCATTCATTCTGCTACTCAGACCCGGAAAAGTTTGAATGTGTATGTGTACGCATGGCATAGTGTGTTTCCGGTATAACGTGTGTGTTGATCGCCGCTCAGCCCTTTTCTCTCTCTTGGCTTTCAGTAGAACAGTCACTCACACTTTAAGTGTCCCGGCTCCCTGACCTGGTCTTTACCCCCCTCCTGAACTAACGGCGTTCTATTTTTCACCAGTGGACATGGCATCTGTTTCGGCTACCGCTCAGGCGGCTCCCGTTTCCTCTGCTCATCTGCAGAGAGGAATAGTTAAAATGGTAAGTTTTAAAAACGTGAGGGATGGAGCTATTTAGCCTAGCAGGCTAACAGCTAAGCAGAGCTAAAGTATTTCCATCTTGGCACCAAACTTAAATTAAAATTATGAGACAGCACAGACCAAACGGTTACGCATGTAAACACAACACGATTATATTATTTCGAAATGTCAGTTACAATTTGGTCATTGGAGTGGAGTTTTATGTCAGCTAACACAGATTAGCCAATTTGATAGCCTGCTAATGAGCTCAGTGACAATAGTACATGTTTGTTGTTTTACATAATAGTTATTATTATAAACCAACTAGAATTTACGCAGCTTTAAAGTTGACTGTTAGTGAAATATTAAAAAATAAACGCTTACTCTATTAAGTTGCATGGATACTGGGTGGCTTTTGACCCTAACAGATGTTAAGTTTCCCAGCTAACGGGTGCTAACAAATTAACATCCACTATCCAGTTGGTTTAAATCTCTTGTGCGCAAAGTTCCTGCATTTACTGCGTTGCTGAGTCAGAATGTCAACTTTTAAACACATTGCGAAATTACCAATCTTTTATAGTGACAGTCGAGTAAATGCAGGGCATTGAAGCCAAAGTGGCGAAGTTCGCCCGGTCTCT